CTTGGGCAGCGCTGTGTTGGGATAGTTTCTTAATGTACACTTACCCTTTATAGAAAACTCTCATATATTTTATATATATATGAGTTTCTGTGGATTTGTTTCTCTAATTTACCCAGTTTAGCACAGTATACATGTATATGTATGTATATTTTGTGAAAGAAAGACATTTAACAGGCATAAGAAAAGAAAATGATGTGTAAATTTTGCTCTGTGTTATTACCAATTATTTCAACATAAGCTGATTCCTCTTAATCTATGCATGGAGCAGAGATTGCCTTTTTGAATCTTCAGCAAACTATCGGTGCATAGTGGGTACACGCTAGGTACTCATTCATCCCACAACATTCTACTCTTGTGCTGGCTTAGATAATTCATTGCAGTGGCCACACAGAACTCACAGACAAAACTTATAAATATGGGAGCTTATTAAGGAAGTTAGGTGCCCTGGTGACATAATGGTTATACATTTGGCTGCTAACTGCAAGGTTAGGAGTTTGAAACCGTCAGATGCTCCAAGGGAGAAAGATGAGGCTTACTACTCTTGTAGAGTTACAGTCTTAGAAACCTACAGGGGCAATTCTACCCTGACCCATAGTGTTGCTATGAGAATCAACTCGATGACAGTGAGTTTAGTTTGGTTTTATTAGAGAATTTAACAGATTGCCACACGTTAGGAGCAATAAACATTGTCCAATACAGTCATTGTTCCACAGCAACAGCTCTCTTCAACCAGGAACTGAGTCTCTGTCCTGTCTACCCTATCAGCCACATGGCCTCTGGCCTCTGTGGGCCAGGAAGCCAGCCCAGTGTTCTGCCTTACAGTCTCAGAGTCTTGGCATTGCCCCTCTCATCTATCTCATTGTCTCTTTGCCTCAGCCTTTACTGCCTCTGGTGCCAGACTTCCCCACTTCAGACAGAGATGTCAAACATGCTTGACTGGTGGCTGCTCTTCAGAGGGTCCATAGCTCTTCAGACTCATAGCTGCAGGCTGATGATGCAGAAAGGTAAAGCAGGAAGCAGGGAGAGCATCGGCCAGTAAGCGCCAAGTCTGTGGATCCGAGGTTGGCAGGAAAGTGGCAAGGCCCCAACAGCTCCCAGGTTGGCTGGCTGGGTCAAGGGCCCTAGATCCAGACATACACTGCAAGTGAGCGGGGAGGGAGAGAGGCCAGAGAGAATTTCTTACAGTCTGCCTTATAAAAAACCCACGCCCCCTTGGAGGCTTCCTCACTCTGTGACCTGATTGAGAGGTTGGATGCAAATTGACATAAAATCTAATCGCCACACCCTCCTTGTTTTCCCTGGATGGGGTGTATGCACTGGTACCGCCATACAGTTCTAACCTACTTGACCTCACCTGGAGCCGTATTTCTTTTTCCTGACTGAGCTTAGGTAGAAGCAAGACAACCTGCTGTGACGTTTTGGACACAGTTGACTTCTGACTCTGGGCCCTACATCTGGCTCACCTCTGTCTGACCTTCAGATTAAGGACTAAACAGCCTCCACTATCACTTGAAACATTTCCTCAAAGTTTTGTGAGTTTCTAAGTGATGTTGCAGCATATTGTATAACCCAGGAACGTTAAGAAATTTATTCAAGGGAAGAGTGGTGATGGGAGATGGCGGTGGGGGACAGAGCAGAATAGGATTTTGAGAGAGTTAGATCTAGTCTGGTATTCTTCCAAAAGAAATGATTACAGTCAGGAATAGAAAGAAGAAATGGAATGATTATCTGATTGCCTTCATGAACAACTGTCTCTTTTGCCATGAAACCAGAAGTGGATGGTGCCTGGATACCATTCCTGAATGTTTCATGATTTGATATGAGTCCTGATCAAAAGGGTAAAAGTAGCACAGAATTTCAGACGCTCATAGAATCCAGTCTTTCTGGAGCAGTGGGAGCTGGATAAACCCCTGAAACTATTACTCTGAGAGAACCCAAATCAGAAATGTCCCTGAAATCTTAGCATCAAACATCACTAGCTTAGCTAGAAATGAATGTCTGTGTTGAGCAGTGTAGTCTTACTATGTAGATCTATCCATATGAGATCAAAGTGACAAAAGGCAATGTAAGAAACTTAAAGGGTATCTTCATGGGTGTGTTAGGCCAGGTTGACTAGAGAAACAAATCCAGTGACACTCATGTATGTTGTAAGGAAAACTTTATATTAAGAAGTAGTTATAGATCAGGAAAACATCCCAGCCCAATCCAATTCAGTTCCGTAAGTCTAATACTAGTCCATAAGTCCCTCTTCAGACTCACACAGCTGTGGGGTACCAGCCTCCACAACTACCTGGGTCCAAGGAGTGGTTGTGTAATTGACGGGTAAGTTAAAGAACAACAGGCAAGATATGCAAGTGCTCCCCTCTTCTATGGCAACCGGAACCAGAGTGAGGGCGAATGTGTTCTCTCACAAGCTTATACAATCTTAGGCATGCAAGCCATGTCACACACATATATAAGAGGAAGGGGGTGTATTAAAGGCATACATTTAATAGGAGGGGACATACTAAAAGATGAGCAGGTTGTAAAGTTAAGATATCAGCCTAACTTTGGTTGTCTCTGAGCTGGCTTGACCTTAAGTGTCTCTGAGCTCTTCTCCAGGGAAGCAATCTACGATACTTATCAGAAGGGTATGGGCTGTACTTAGGGTTAGATGGTATGATACCTTTTGATGGCAGAAAACCTTCAGGCAGATCGTCCTCAAGCAGTTAAACTTCTAGAGTATAGTAGCAATCATGTACTTGCAATCAGCACTTTAAAAATGTCATTGTTATGGGGGGACATTGTGGGGAACAACTTAGGAGAATGTGACTGGGATGTATCTCTAGCCCACAAAAGTGAAGGCCTCCCTCCATGAGAATCTCGGCCTCTCAGAGTCCTTAAAAATATGAACTTAGAGAATTTGTCCACATACACTCTCTTCCTGGTCCTCAGTTTTCCATACACAGCCACATGCAATGATGCAAAATGCAAAAAGATCACAGGCAAGTGGGTATCAAGTCATGTGGACCCAGTGGTGGTGGCCCTGGCAGCACTCAGGATCAGCCAGCAGGAAAGTGAAGGCGGAGAGAAAGGGAGGTTCCAAGGGCCCTCCTTATGAGAAGGCCACTCCCACAGGGAGGCACCATCAGGCTGTGACCTGATAGGTTGAATACCATCCCTACACTTTTACATATCTTTAGGTTGACATGAAATTATGTAACTACGACAGTGGGGCAGGAAGACCTCAGAAACAATTTGAAGAATGTCAGTGTCAGTGAATTGTACCTGTAGATATTGTTGACTTGTATATACTCTGCTTGTGTGTCTATACAACAACAACAACAAAAAGAAAGCATTAAACAATTCTAGGACCTTTTGTCACTTAATGATGTGTAGTGCCAAATCTTTTCCTAGGAGCAAACTTAACAAGGGATATAGGTTTTGTTTTTGTCTTCACTGCCAGTGAGCTGGTTCCAGCTCATAGGGACCCTATACAACAGGGTAGAACTGCCCCGTGAGTTTCTGAGGCTGTAAATCTTTAAGGAGTAGAAAGCCTCTTTTTTCTTCAGTGATGGTCTCTAGTGGTTTCAAACTGCTGGCCTTGTGATTAGTAGCCCAACACATGCCTGCTAAGCCATCAGGGCTCCTGTGCAAGG